TGCGTGCCTGCAGCGAGCGGCCGCCTATCCAGCGGCCGTTGAGGTTCTTGATACACCACGCCGCATCCGCCTCGTCGTAGAAGAGCGCGAAGCCGTAACCTTTGGTCGGCCGGCACTTGCTGTCGACGCACAGCTTCGACGCCTCCACGCGGCCGAACTCCTGGCACAGTTCGCGGAAGTCCGCTGCACGGTATGTCTCGGGTAGACCGGAGACGTACACATTGCGTCGCTGCAGGGAGTTCTGCACCTCCTTCGTCGGGAGAGGCGTGCTCGACGCCACGGGTTCCTGCTGCTGCTGCTGTTGTTGTTGATGATTATGGTATTGCTGCTCCAACTGTTGTTCTTGTTGCTTCTGTCGATCGTGCTGCTCGGGGAGCGCCAGGCTGTAGGGGCAAGAAAATACCGAGGACAAGCTCATGCCGCGTTTGTGGAAAAATACGGGAAAGTGAAATAGCAAACTAAGGCGAAAAACTGTCTGTGTGAGTTCTTACTCTGCGGGGTAAAGCTTCTTCTACCAGATGCATGTGTGCGAGAGGCAGAGAGAGGCAGAGAGAGAGAGAGAGAGAGAGAGGGTGAGTGAATGAGTGATTGAATGAGTGGGTGGAAGAGAGAAACAAGCAAACAAATAAAAGCGACGAGGGAAGCACGCACACACGTAGATGCACGCACAGTCGCCCACCAACCACGGCTGGCAGGTGAAGGATGACTCCGAAAAACAACAACAACAAAAATGACCGCGCCATCGGCAACGACTCCTTCTAGTCCCGTATTCAGCTCCTTGGAATTGCCAAAGAAAAAAACAACAACAAAAACCTCCAACACCCCTTTTTTTCTCATCGACACACTTAGTGGCCTGCTCCTTCGTCCCACGGCAATTCAGCACATGAGGCTGCAGCCCACGCACCACCCAGCGGCCCGGCGGTGCAGCTCCCCCGCAAAGGCCCTTGCGTCTCTCTCACCTCATCGACGGGAAGGCGCCATGCAGAAACGCGCCCCCACTCCTACCGATGCTTCTTTTGTTGCCGACAGCAGGACCTCGTCGCCTGCTCTGCGAGGGATATGGCTCGACAGATAGCTCGGGTAGATGGAGACGGAAAAAAGGACAAACAGGCGCCGATGACGGGGGATAGAAGGAACATCGCGCCACTTGTATTATTGGTATTAAGCATGTCTTTTCCTTTTCTTTTCTTTTTTGTTGGTTCGTCCAAATGTTTGCAGTGCTTGCCTCATTCCGTTTTATTCCTCCACTTATGGCTGCGTGCGAATGCGTCTTGAGCAAAGAAAAGAAAAATTCACACGACCCACACCGCTTTCCGAATCCAAAATAGACAAAAAAAAAAAGCTTCCTTCTTTTCACCTTCGTTATCGCTATTATATATCCAGTCTGTAGAACTATATGATTGGGGAGCAGGCGCTCTCCTCACCTTCGCAAGGTCGGCAGATGCCGCAGCCGTTCGCCACCACACATGTACCCGGCAATGTAGTCGCAGACGCGGCTCCTAGGAGCCCTCTTTACTTACATGCGTGCCGGTGACAGACCTCGTCCCCTGCGTGCCTGCCCCGTTCACCGACGTCCCTTGTATGCTGCGGCTAGTGATCTCTAGCTGCCGAAGCATCGTCTTCACCTTCTGTGCGTCGGCGCCAATGTCGCGCACGAAAACACTAAGGGCCTCCTTCGCTCCTGCTAACTCCTTCAGCGTCAGCGCCACCGCCTGGGCGTCCGCCCCACCACCGGCTGCTGTTGCTGCTGCTGCTGCCGGTCCGCGGCGTGCGGTGCCCCTTTCATCAACACCCGCCACGTCCTGCTGCTCATCCTCTGCGGCGTCGAGGCGGTCCTCGTCCTCCTGCAGCAGGAGGCACTCTTCCTCTGGAAAGAAGCCAAGGTCGTTCTGCTGAATCCTTTCATGCACGTACGACTCCTGTCCAGTGAAGTCGTTTGGGTCCTTTCGCCGCAGGTAAGACATGAAGTAGAGGTACATCCACATGTTGTGCTCCTGGTTCACGTGTGCGCGGAATCCGCCAATGCGGGCCTTCTCAAATCTTTCCGCGTCGAGGCCGCAGATGAAGCACGTGCTCCTCATGTCTGTCTCCTTCTCCCGTTTGTCGTCGCGCAGCTCGCCGAATGTGTCGATGATGAGACCGAACATAATGTTGAGGAACACGACGTTAACGAGGGCGAAGAATATCAGGTCGTAGCTGACGCGTGGGAGGAAAGTGGTGCTCGTCCATGACTCCTCTTCCATGACGTCACCGACACCGCCACCCTGGCGAAGCCCCTGCCAGAGAATGAATGTAAAGCAACGGAGGAGGGTGCCACAATTCTCTTCATTCGTCCCTTCCTCGTTGCCAAACCCGCGTGAAAATACGAGGTAGCCGACGATAGCGAAGAGGTAAAGCACAACAACACCGAGGAATGCCGTCAGCAGCAGCTGACGTCCGTTCTGCGTGATGGCAGAGATGAAGGTGCGCAGTGTGGGCGTCTTGTATATCACCAGCAGCAGGTGTGCCGCAGCAAAGTAGTGCGAGACGAGAACGCTCAATGCCGCCATGATGACAAGAAATAGGCGGAATTGTATAGTGAAACGCGTGAAGAAGAGTTTGACGATTTCTTTCACCGTCATGCCGTCAAATACTTCCTGCATCGTCGCGTTGAGCTTTGCACGCCCCGAGGTGAGGTGTTGCTTGCGCCTGTACTCCGTGTAGAGGCAGACGGGGAAGAAGATGACGGCGTCCACACCGAGCACGATGCATGACAGCACGAACTGTAGGAAGCAGAGGAACGTGAGCATGTCTTTCCAGAAGAGCACCATGCCGTCGTTCCACCTCGCACCTTCAACGGAAATGAGGCTCGTGTTGACAATCACAGCGACTGCAATAGAGGCGTACTCGTAGAAGCTGAGCTGGCTGGAGAAGAGCACAGGGGCGATAAAGCGGTTCCACCCGCGCTTCACCGCGTCGAGCCTTCCTTCCTTCTCCTCTTCCTCCTCACCCATTTTGTCATCACTGTCGCTGCCGCCCAGCCTGAAGCGCGTCCAGCGGGCGACCCAGCGCTGAAAGGCATGCGCCCGCTCCACCTCGAAGATTAAGTTGTCGCTCTGGTGCAGGAAGTCGCCGAGTTTTGTCGCACGGCTGGTGCGGTTGACGCTCCAGAGCACGCCATCCTTGGTGCTCTGAGTGAGGCCGCAGCAGCTAAGCGGGATGCGGAAGAGGACCTTCTCCAGCTGCCCGTCGGCGCGCCGCACCTCGATGTGGCCGAGGAGGCGGCTGCTGATCTTCGCGGTGCGGCGCAGCATCTCGTCGACGTGCTGCTGGTAGAGGCCCTCTGCGAAGGGGCGCACGGTGTGGAGGAAGACGAGCCATTTGAAGAACGCCTCCACGCCCGGGTCGTCTTCAAACTCCTCGTCGTCGAGGATGCGGTCATACATCTTCGGGCCCACAGTAGCGAGCTCACGCTCAATGATCTCCACGGGGATCTGTGCAAGGATGCGGCGGATGGTGTCAGGCGAGCGGCAGCCTTCAGTGAGCGACAGCAGACACGTCGTAAGAGAGGTGCGGAGGCAGCCGACGTCGGTTTTCGTCAGGCAGCGATCGCATTGCGCCACCAAGTCACTCGCGTCAGGGTCAGTGTTGTTGTTACTGCGGTTCCTGGTCGCCGCTGTGCGGGCGGTGCCGGCCACCTCCGGAGATCCAAGGAGGTCGAGAACATGGCAGATGGTGGCGCATACGTCATAGCTCAACAGCACCTCTTGGTTCGCGTGGCAGGGGCCCTGGCAGAGTTCCGTCAGCAACTCGAAGCCACCACGCACCACTTCGACGGTGGCGGGGCGAATGATAGTGGAGATCTCCGCCAAGAAGACCATCACCTCATGCACGAGGTTGACGCTGTGCATGTTGTCATGCTGGGAACGGATGTAGTTCTGCATGCTGAGGTTATGCCCCTCACAGAATAGCTGCAGCATGCGGAACAGTGTGAAGATGAGCCGCACACGCAAACACCCCTGTACGCGATCCCAACCCGACAAACGTCGCCTATCGTTGGTGTTGATGCTGCTGCTGCTGCTGCTGCCTCCCCCATCCGTGGACTGTATGGGAACGTTGGCGAGGAGCATCGACATGAAGTGCTGCAGGTTAGAAACGTTCACGATGACGCCGCCACGTTCTAAGATGACAAGCTGCTGCTCCACATTGAGTCGCCACACCCACCGCAGTGCCTTTTGTAGGACGTCTCTGATATTGTGGAAGAACCCTTCCTGGTGCGTCTCAAAGTAATTCAAAAGTGCCCTCTGCGCCCGTTGGTTGCCGCCGTCAAGGAGCACCACACCAAGTCGCGTCGCGCTGTACGTCATCACCTCGTCATCAACGGCGCAGAGCGAAGCGACTACGTGCGTCATACCAAGGTCGCTGAATGTCAGCTGTAACACGTAGCCAGCGTCCTCCTCTCCGTCGCCCCTGATATTCTTCTCACCAGACTTTTGCGTTTGTTGTTGTTGCTGCTGCTGCTGCTGGTGGTGCTGATCCTGTTTCTTCTCGTTGAGGGCTGCGTAGAGGGCGTTGTGGAAGCAGTTCAGCAGTCCGACAAACGCCATGGGGCTGAAAACCCCTTTGCGCATGCCATCCATGGCATTGGCCACATAATCGCGGGTGCTAGTGTGCTCTGGGCTGCGCCGCAGCAGTTCGTTCACGACACCCGCCGGCTTGTTTGCGTCTTCGCTGTCCTCAACAGGGATAANGCTAGTGTGCTCTGGGCTGCGCCGCAGCAGTTCGTTCACGACACCCGCCGGCTTGTTTGCGTCTTCGCTGTCCTCAACAGGGATAAGCACGTCTCGCTTGATGAATGTGCGCAGGACACTGCGTACTTGTTCCACATCTCGGCATCTCGTGACGGCGCTAGAGAGCAGCAGTCCTGCTGAAGCGGCGGCGGCAGGGCTCTCCTGCAGCCGCTTTGACACGCCCTCACCGGCGAGGAGAATGTCTTGAGTGCCGAAGTTCTCGTCCCATTCTTCGCTCCGCTCAACCCCCTCCCAGATATCAGACTGCTTCTGCTGGCGCTGCTGCTGCTCGGACTTCTCGTTGTAGCGAATGAGCCAGGCCCGCAACTGGTTTCGTGTGCGCCCAAGACTGCTCGCGACGTCGTCAAGGCCCGCAATGTTCTTCACCTGTTCCTGCAGCACAGCATTGAGGCGGCGGTAGTTCACCACCTCTCGGACATGCAGCTCAATTGCGTCGGCGTGAGCGAGCAACTCCTGGCAGAAGCGCGTAATGCTGTCGCACATGCTGCGGAAGGTCGGCTCCAGGGAGTCCTGGTAGCGGTAGAAGCCTGCTTCAAGGAAGTATTCGGCGACAAATGTGAGCAGTGCAACAGGCAGTGAAACAAGCCACACCTGCCGGTAGCGCTGCAGCACACGGAGGCCGCG